CCCATGGCCCTATAGACCTGTAGCCCTGTGACCCTATCGCCCGATAGCCCCATAGCCCTATAGCCCTGAAAATGATTCGGATTGGTTTTTATCGAGTATCATTTCTGTCTTCGGGGAAGGCTCAGAAAACTTCTCTGAAGGCTGGGGGACTTCCGAGCCTTCTGAGAAGGCCTCCTCCTTCTCGCTTCCCCCCCTCGCTCGCCGGAAAGCCTCGAAACGGCCTTCCAAGGCCCTTGCATCCTCATCGCGCATCTTTATGATACGGGTCGACTCTGTGGCTTCACGGGCATGTCGGGAGCACATTGCCCGGTAACGTACCGAACCGGCAGCTCCTGATGGACAGAGGATCTGCCGCCGGGAGCATCTGCTGTTGGCATCGACTCGGGCGGTGGGGCAGGTAAGTGAGCTGTTTGGGGCACGTTGTGATGATGTGATGCTTTTTTTTCCGGAAGAGAGACGCGATGCTGCAACGAGAAAGAGTTGCCGTAATTGCGGCAGCTATTCTTTGAATGGGCACTGCGTTGGGGCGCTGGCTTTCTTGGTGGAATCGTTGAACACGCAGTGGTCTGCGCGTGTGGTACACGTTGTGGTCACATTTATGTGCCAGGATTTGCTGTTCTCGCACGGTTGTTGCACTCCTTCTCGTCGGTTTCCTCACGGGATGCGCTCTGCTTCATTGCCGCATGATGAGCAGCTCTACGAGGCTCCCATACTGTCCATCCCAGTGCCCAAATCTGGCTGGACCTGCAGGCACGAAGTCAGTGCTGAGCCGCAATCACGTGGACCGACTCACGTACACCCTGCTGTGCGGCGTGGAGTGCCTCCACCACTCGGGCGCCGGGGCTCGTGCGAAGTCCCGCGCAGGGGCAGGGCGGACAATGGGAGTCTAGGCCTCCCAGATGGGGTCCGGGTGGACGGTGCTGGAGGATCGCGCCGCATCGGCGATGGGGCTCGATGTGGAGCCCAGTGTTCTCTACGCAGGCGTCGCCGACGATGCATCGCCGATGCATCGGATATGCATCGACGATGCGGCGCAATCCTCCGACCCCAGCTACAGTGAGCGGCTTGAATAAGGAGCACTTACTTTTCAAAAGGGGCTCGGTCGTTCCTTTGGTTTGCATGCGTTCCACTACCTTTTTGGCGGCCGTTCCTTCGGATTTCGTAGGCTTACTTGGAAACAAGGGGCTTCGTTCCTTATTTACCGTTCCTTAGATCAGGCCGATGACTGCATTCGAAGCCCACCCGGGAGGCCTCCAGGCAGTGGGGGGCTCTTAGAGATCGCCTCGCGCCCCTCCAGTCGGGAGCATATCCGGCAGCAGCCCTGCGCAGTTCGGGAGCTCCCTTTATACTCAGGAGGGAAGACAACACACAGACATAGTGAAGTGTCCACTCCCTGAAAACTGTGGGAAAACATGGGAAGGGGGGTGGGAAAGACAAACATCCACAAAATATGGAAACATATTGGGGAATCCTGTTATTTGTGTCTATTCACTTGTGTGTCCCCGGGCCCCTCCACATACGCCTCTCGTTGTTGAGAACCACGACCGAAGGTTTTCGCTGATTTTCAGCGTCCGGGGGCCCGTACACGGGGCCCCTGGACTCCAACGGCTCGAGATAAGACACTGGTCTCAGAGAAAGGCTCCAGACTTCTGCGGAGTCATGTGGTGAGGAAAGGCTCATTGCCGGAGGCCGTCGGAGATTTGAGTGCGTCCTACACCCCCCCTGGGCAAATCATGCAACGTTTGCAGGTCGTGCCGAAGGGTCGTCCAGGGGACTTCCCTGGGGGTAGTTTTTGGTCTCGGGTCCGTCTCTGACGATCCCCCATTGCATTCGAAACAGATAGTAAAGATGAGAGACTTTCCAATGATACCCTTACATCCTTGCCTCCTCGGTCAACCCTTCACCCCTTGCGATGGCCAACCCCTCTCGAAAAGCTTCGACATACGCGTCCGAAACCCTTGAATCCTTATCGCACATCATTGCTATCAGTTTTGACGGTGCTTTCCACGGCTGCACACGATTTGCCCATTTAGCGCAGTACCTTCGCGCGCACCGCAGCCCTCGTTCGCAGAACAAGATCCGCGCGCGTGCTCGCCGCACAGCCGAGGCCCGCGGGCCCGGGCCCGCACGGAGCACTGGCTGGGCCGTCCTCCGACGGCCCAGAAGCGTAAGGGGATGCGACGCTGGGGGGGAGACGGGCTCCGAGGGGATCCGCTCGAGGCTCGAGGCTTCGAGGTTTTCGGACGTTCTCCTTGGTTCCTAGATCTTCTCAAGCCTCGGGATGCTCTCCAGCAGCTGCGCCTCGCCGAGAGGCGTCCGGGGGTGCTCGGATCGTCCCGGAGTCCCGATCGACCGCCAGAGAGCCGTATTATGTTTCGACAGCCAAGGGTGAAGTCGGGCATGTCGCTCTACAGGAGGAATGTTTAAACATAGTCAACAGATAGTCAGAGGACGATTGTTGTTTTTTTTGGCAATGTTTGATTGTTCTTTGACAATTTTCTTTTTTTCCTCCAACATCCACCTGTAGGAGGGCATGCCCGACCTAAGCCACGGGGCACTATTAGCCATAGGGGTGTATAGGCTCAGAGTTGCGGGCCTCGACCCCGACTCGCCCACTCGTCGCCGCACCCCGGCCAGCAGGGCTGGACCTCAACGCTGTCTTGCTGGATTTCGGCTGTGTTTTGTGTTTCGTTCTGGCAGGGCCCCTGCCAGAACGAAACACAAAACACAGGGAAACAGGTAGAGCAAAACGAACAACATAACGAAAACAACAAGAAACACAACGTTTAGGTTCAGCCCTGCCGGCCAGGAACGCTCGGATTCGCTATCGGGGGCCTACTGCCGATCGATCGGCGATCTTTTGCCGACTCCGGGTTGATGTCCCCCCCTTTGGGCTGGCCCCCCCTGTCTTGTCGTGCCCCCTCGGGATTACCAAACACCCCCGCCCTGATTTTGTTCAAGGCGTCTGGAGGGTTGATCTTAACATTTCGGAGGTCTCCGCAGATTTCTGGGATCGGCGCTGGAACCCCCTCCCTGGTGCGCGGAGCGAGTCGGGATCAGCGCCGGAGGCGCCTCCAGGGAGCCATCGCCGATCCGAGCAAGTCGCGAGGACCTCCGTAAGTTCACGGTCGAGGGCGTTTTATTGTATACCCAGGCAAGTTACTTGCATGGCATTTCCCTCCCCCGTTCACCCGCTGCCCTTTCAATCAGCGAACAGCGCTGGGCCGAAAAGGTGCGTATGTATCCGAGTCCCGACCTGCGTGAGGCCCAGATTTTTGTTCGGGCCTCGCCACGCCCCCCCCCACCCCTCCCTCCCCCCCTTCATGGCACCCGCGTGGGGCCGCAGTTCGGTATCAATTCATGGGAGCCTGGTCTACCCTCTTGAGTCCGTCTTTAGCGTCGATTCGCGTCTGGGAGTCGACGAGATACTGCCGATCTAGCATCGGCTAGCGTCGATGTAGTGTCGACGAGCGTCGATTCGCCAGAGCCAACGAGACGGCATGGGAAGCTCCTACGAGTGGCCACCGAAGGGCCGGTCGGCGGCATGGGGGGGTCCATGGGGGCTCTTCGCGGCTGCTCGGGTGCCCTCGCAGTGCCAGCGATGTGGCTGTGTCTGTGCTCGGCCCTAGAGGGCCAGGAGGAGGAGGGGGAGAGGGAGGAGGAGGGACAGGGGGAGGAGGAGGAGGAGGAGGAGGAGGAGGAGGGGAGGAGGAGGAGGAGGAGGAGGAGGAGGAGGGGAGGGAGGAGGAGGAGGGAGGGAGGGAGGAGGAGGAGGGAGGGAGGGAGGAGGGAGGAGGGAGGAGGGAGGTGGGAGGTGGGAGGAGGAGGAGGAAAAGGAGGAGGAGGAGGAGGAGGAGGAGGAGGAGGAGAAGCAGGAGCGGGAGGAGGAGGAGGAGGTGGAGGAGGAGGGGGAGGAGGATGAGGAGGTGGGAGGTGGGTGGTGGGAGGGGTGCATGGGGGCGCGTCACAGCTGCTCGGCTGCCCGCCATGCTGCCGGCGGGTGTCGCTGTGTCCGCGCATTGGCCCCAGAGGGCCCGGGGACCAGGGGCGGTGGTTGGGCCCGGGGTCCCAATTTGGGGAGGCCCACCGGGGGCCCTCGGAGGCCAAGGTTCAGGAGGGGAAAGAAGCACGTGCATCATCGATGCATCGCCGATGCATCGGCGATGCGGCGCGATCCTCCGGCCCCATCTACTCGGACCTCGTCTAGGAGGCCTCTGATCCTGAGTCCACCGCGGGGTTCGCGAGGGTAATCGCGCTTTGCGCATCGAGGCCTGGATCGGGCAGCTGGCCTTCTCCAAGGGGGGCGGCGCGAGGGCGCGAAGATAACTGCCCATCGCGCCCTCGTGACCTACCCGAGGCTGGGATCTATCCATATCCACCGCCTGGGAAGCCGATCTTCCTGGGCATCGGAAGGCGGCGGATTTGTACAACTTTGGACCGCACATGCACCCATATCCATCGCCCACTTGGGGGGGATCCCGGGACACCGCTTCCACGAGCGGTGGATACGGACAGATCCCCGCCGCGCAGCCCAGAGCTTCTGTTGCCAGCTCGGCTCGAGCGGCCGTGGGCGACCGCGTCGCGGGCGCGCACCGCGCCGCGACCGTCGCCTCCAGAGGAGCTCCGCGGGGCCGAACCCTTCTGGCCGCGGGCGCGCCGCGGGCGGCGTCGCCGTCGGGGCCGCGGGCTCGAGACCCCGGCGCTGCCACGCGGCGGTGCAGCTGGATAGGGGGCCCCGTGCGAACCCTGCCCCTCCCCCCCACGATCTCCGAGGGGGAGGGTGGGGTTCACTTCGCTCGGGAGCTCCCGAGCAAGGAGGGCGGGGTCCACTTCGCTCGGGAGGAGCGGGGCGATCGAGAGGGGTACGGAAAGAATGGGCACGAGGAGGAGGCGGAGGCGGAGGCGGAGGAGGAGGAGGAGGAGGAGGAGGAGGAGGAGGAGGAGAAGGAGGAGGGGTATGGGGGTAGGGGCAGGGTTCGCACGTGGCCCCCTGGCCGGAGGCGGCCGCGCGAGCAGGGCGAGCACCCGGGCGGATTCTCGGCGGCGCCGGCGCCGAGGGCGGGGGCCTCTCCACGGCAGCCACCGCCCGGGAGGGACGGGCTTCGGGGGGCCTCGGCAGGCGGGGTGCCTGTGGAGGCGAGGCGGCGGGCACGGGTGTGGTGGCGTGGGTGGCTGGGGCCGTGTTACCGGTGCCTCTGTGCGTGCGCACGCAGATCTGGGCACCTTTTTGTAAGTACTTGCGCGCGTTTACACTGTGCATTCACATACACACATACATACACGTCTGCATACACACACCTTTATCTATTCATATATGAATGTATATGTGGGTGCGCACGCATCTAATATTACATCTGCATGTCGAAGTACACAGGTGCATATATTGTTATACATACACACACATATATATATATATATATATATATACATAGTGCCATAGTCTCGGCCCCCCTGGGGGGGCAACTATATCCAGATCCACTGCCCGCCGAGATCCCCGAAGATGGACCCCCCAGGCGCGTGGTTCTGGACAGGTTCCCGCCTCGCCTCGTCGGCGCGCCCGCGCCGCCGCAGCCGCCGCCGCCATGCCCGCCGCCGCCGCGCCCGCCGCCGCCGCCAGCCCCGTGCCGTGGCTCTTCCTCGGCGGCACCGCGCTGGGGCTCTTTGCGGTGGCCCAGCTGGGCAGGCGCGTCAAGAGGCACCGCTGGTTCAGATGCCAACTTCCTGGGGGGTAAATTCTGACTCTGCCCTGGTCCGACATCTGGCTTGATCCCGCTAAATTCGGCTTCATCCCGCTCAATCCGGCTCAATCCCGCTCAATCCGGTTCAATCCCTTCGGCCTAATCCAGCGTAGAGCAGCCCCCCACTGGGGCTTCATCTTCCTCAATCCTTCCGACGAAGACCTCCCAGTAGTTGCCTCCTCACGCTGGGTGGATGCCGCCTGCGCTCTGGCGCCGAGCCCGGCCAGGCCGCGCCCCGGGCCCGTGGATCGGTGCGTGGGCCGCCCGGCCGAGCCAGGAGAAAAGAACAGCGTCTAGGCCTCCCAGATGGGGTCTGATTGGATGGAGTTGGAGGATCGCGCCGAATCGCCGATGCATCGGCGATGCGGCTCGATGTGAAGCCCGATTTGCTCCACGTCGATGTTGCCGATGCATCGCCGCCGTCGACGATGCGTCGCCGGTGCATCGCCGATGCGGCGCGACCCTCCGACCCCATCTACTCCGACCCCATCTATACGAGGCCTCTGCCGCGTGAACATGATTTCTCGAAGGTGCGCCCGGATTTCCGGGATCGGCGCTGGGCTCCCCTCCCCTGGCGCGCGGACGCCAGGGGCGGCGCCGGAGGCGCCGCCAGCCCTAGATAGGGGGGCCGAGCGCCGACCCAAGACAGCTGCGCGGACCTGCGAGGTGTCATGTTTGGGCAGCGTGTGGGTCCTCGGGTCACGCACCGATGTTTGGGCTTTTTGGGGTCGGTCCGGGCAGGGGTCGTCGTCCTCGCCCGTGCGGAGCCCACCTCGAAGGCAGCGGGAAGCGGTTGGCCAGCAGGAGAGGCGCCGCGAGGAGCGGGAGAGGAAGCGCGCAGAGGACCGGAAGGGCAAGGGGGGCAAGGAGGGCAAGGGCAACCTCGCCAAGGGCAAGGGCAAGGGCGGTGGTCGCGGAGGCCGGTGAGGCCTTTCGCGCGGGATCTGCGGGCGCCGCGGCAGGTCAGGTGTTCTGTGGAGATCTGAGCGGTGATCAGGGCAGCCAACCTCCCCATCCGATCATTGTTTGCCCCGCGGCGCCCTGACCCAGACGCGCTGCCAGGGGGCAGCCCTTGAGCGGATCACCCGTGACCTGTGCGAATGTCGAGCAAACTTGCCCAAATGATTGACTCTCTATCCAGGCCTGCCAGATAGGCCACACAGAAACAGTTCTCGAATGTTTCCGAGAGATATCTCCAATCGTTCAAGATGTTCATTTGCGGGTGGGAGGGGGGCAACGGGGCTTTTTTCAGATATGAAGGTGTCTGTGCGTTTCAGACCACGGATTTTCAAGTTCACGTATTCAGCAATCGTCCATTTATGTTAATTCATCATCATGCTTGCATCGGTAGATATGGTGCCTGCAGCTCACTCTCTGGAAGAACATGTAGGGTGCGCGCTCGACCTACCTGCATTCTGGATACATCTGCGCCTCAGGGATCAGGCAACAACTCCGCTGGGGCTCTTGCTCCAAAACAGTTAGTGGGATTCCCCGCTTACGAGGGGCAGATCGCCCCAGGAGGGGGCGAATGCGGATACACCCCCAAGGGTGCGCGCGAGCCGCCGCCACCTTGAGGATCAACATGAACATAATTAGGTTCACCCTCAGTTGAAACATTGAAGATTCCATGTTAGGGTGAGTACGGGGAGGACATAGCTATGCTCAACCGCAGCCTGGGGTGAACCGAGCCAGCCTTTTCACCCATACACGAACACACATGCATACTTATAGACATAACGACATACATACATCCATGCATCCATCCATCCATACATACATTAAATTGTCAACCATTACTTACTTAATTACATACAGACATACACATATACACACATGCATGTACACATATCTATATATATAGATACATACACGTACATACAACCATACATACACGCATACATGCATACACACATACACCCAGACATCCATACACCCATACATACATACATGCATGCATGCATACATGCATACATACATACAAACACACATGCACGTATACATACATACAAACATGCATGCCTACGTACATACGTACATACATTCATACACACATGCTTACACACATACACACATACATACATGCGTACGCACGTACATACGTACATACACACATGCACACATGCATACATACATGCATGCAGGCAGGCAGGCACGCAGGCAGGCACGCAAGCATGCATAGATACATACATACATACATGCATACACGCACACACTGTATGGCGGTCGCGGCCTCGGGCGCGGCGACGAGGCGGAGTATATAAGTCGAGTGTGGCGCAGCACTTAGCCATCCGGGCGTGGATGGCGGGGAGAAGAGAGAGCGCACCGACCGCCGCCTAGGGGGACGCGGGGGCGCAGCGCAGACGTGAGGAAACAGCACTTTGCCACCCTGGGCGTGGATGGCGGGGAGACGAGAGAACGCACTGGCTGCCGCCTTGGAGGACAACTCATATGTGGGCGCAGCTCAGACGAGGAAACACGCCAGGTGATCGCAAACATGGATCAAGGGGGCGTGGATTGGCGACGCGTCCCGTTTCCATGGGGAATCGCGGATTCCCGCCGCCGAACGAGGTGGCACCGGCCGCATTTTGGGGAGGGCACCTCCCCCGATCCATGTTTTTTTTTCCTCCTCACTATTATCCAGTTCCTCAGGTTTGCTCAAATGCGTACCGAATGCATGCTGTCGTGTCCAAGCCTGCCGTCGTAACCAAGAATATCCGCACTGCATGACAATGATGGCCGGTGGTTCCTGTGCTCTATGTGATTCCGTTTGGCTTTCAACCAATCCGAAGAATCATGGATCTGGCGACTGCGCGCCAAATCTCAGGAGGGAAAAAAACACACAGACACAATTAATCGTCGACCCCCAGGAAAATATGGGAAAATATGGGAATTGGGGGGGAAGACAGAAACCCAGAAAATATGAGAAAATATGGGGACTATTTTTATTTGTGTGTATCTATTTGTGTGTCCTAATTTCCCTTTAAAATCCATGGATCGCTAATCCACGTTTGCGCGCCCCCGAACACGGTGTGCAGGCCGACCACGTCGCCCGGCGGCGGCCGCGGACGAGGCGAGGACGGGTGGCTTGAAACGCCGCGGGGCGCCACCGCTTGGCCTCCCTCCCCGGAGGGCGCGGGAGATCGCGGGAGGGAAAGCGCTCCTCCTCCTCCTCCTCCTCCTCCTCCTCCTCCTCCTCCTCCTTCTGGGACGACGCGGCGCCGCTCGACGCGGGGTCTCCCTCGGCCTGGCCGGTGGCGAGGAGGACGTGAACGTGGAGGGAGCGGATGCAGAGGCCGAGCTGGCGAGCAGAGAGCGCGCGGTCCACACACGCACGTGCACACGCCGGACGCCGGCCCCGAGTTTGGTCGCCCCTCCCCTCGTCTGGGGCGCCGCCTGCCCTGGCGTGCGCTGTCAGGGGCAACGCACGGGGAGATAGGATTCGAGGGGCAATGCATCGACCCCCCAGTCGCCCACTCATCGCCCACAGGAGCCCGATAGCCCACCCCGCCCAAGGAACGTGCGACTTCGCGACCCAGAGCCTGTCGCCGATGCATCGGCGATGTAATCATCCCCGATCCAGGTTGATGTTCCCAATCATCCATGGGCCGGCACCCCCTATCGCTGTCCTCCGGTGGGAGCACAATCCGCGCGGCGTGCAGGCGTCTGGCATCGAGATCTGAAGCCCGCGAACTGCCTCGTGAACGAGGACTGCACGGTGAAGATCTGCGATTTCGGCCTGTCGCGGACCGTGGAGGAGGCCAAACTGGAGGCGCCCCTGGGAGGGTAAGAAGGGAGGGACACAGTGGGAAGTTGGCCTGCCAGGAGGTGCCCAATGGAAGCTTCGTATCGCTTGAAAGAGGCCCCGGAGACCAATATCAATACTGGGGAGTTCCAGGGAGATTCGAGATGGACGACGAGATTCCCTCGTACTTCTTCATGCTTATCCAGATTTCTTCCCGTATGCACCTGCCGTGTGGCATGATTTGTGACGGCAAGGGGGAGGATCTGTGCAATCACCACTGCCACCGACATCCGCACTCGTCGAAATTCGATAACGACGATCACGAAATTCGGTAACGACGCTCACGAACTTCGGTAGCGCCGAAACGAACTTGGGTAGCGACGACGCGCTCAAATTCGATAGCGCCGAAACCAATTTCGGTAGCCCGTCACAGGTTTTGAAGCGCAATTTCGATCGTGCGTGCAATGCGCTCGATACCAGTTTCGAATGCTCGTTTTCTGTGTTTCTGTCGCGACGGGATCCTGTGAAGCGCGACGGGAAACAATCGGTATCGGATGAGTTTGGTACCGCTGCCCCCTTCCCTCGTTTTCGCGTTTGTGGGCCTCCTGGGAGGCCCTCTTCGCGACCGCTGCATTCGCCTCGAAGTTCCGATCAGAATGCATCCCAAGAGAGGTCCGGGGAGTAGCGGTATGGGTACCTTTCGGCTTCTCCGCTCAGGCAGTGTTGAGGCTCTTCTGAGTCCAGTGCCGTTTTTTATACATGCTCCGCGTGCGGACCATGTATCAAAAATGCAGGGATTTAGTATTAAAATCAACGAGGAGTTCATGTATACATTTATTCATTCATTAATCATGTATCAAAAATCCTAGATTCAAGAATCCTATGTAATAGAAACTGCCCTGTCGTCTCAGGGCGATCGTGGGTCGTTTGGCGCCCTGGGGGCCGTCCTCGGGTGTCTTCTCTGGGCTGTCTCGGGGATCTCTCTGGGCCTCTTGGGGCAGTTTTTTGGGGGGCTCTCGTCGGCAGTCTTGGGCTTCTCTTGTGGGCAGTCTTGGGCTCTCGGCAGCCTTCGTGATCTTTTGTGCCGCGCATGCATGGCGGCCCTTCGGGGGTTCGTCTTGGAGCCCCCTTGGGCCGTATCGGAGGCCTCTCCGGACGCCTTCAGGGCATGCTGGGCCGTCTTCGGGCTCTCTTTTGGCCAGCGTGGAGGCCACCTGCGCTGTCTTGGGACATCATGGGCGATCAAGGATACCATCTTGGATGCCACCTTAGGCGTCTGAGAGCCGGCTCTGTGCACCTTCATGCGCCCCAGCGGGATGGGCCCAAGGCCATTGGGAATATCTCGGAGGGGCCACAACGAGCTGCACTGTCCAGCTGGACATTTTGGGGTGTAGGGCCCCTAAGGCCGCTCGGGTTCCCCATCGGGCGCCTCTTGGGCCTTCCTCGGGGCCCTCTTGAGGCCCTCTTGGGGCTCTCTTAGACCGTCTTGTACGCTCTTGCGACTGGAAGAGCGAGCGCGCAAAAGTCATGCAACAACCCATGGTGTTTCGGTGTTCTGGGCTTCTTTCGCCAGTCCCCTGGACCTCCAAAACGGTCCAAGACGCCCCCAAGAGGGCTCCAGGACGGCCCCCTGGGGCAATGTTAGGTCATTCTGCAAGCATGGAGTCCCCATCTCGCTCCGGGGCCTCGGGGGAAGTCACGAGCCAAGCCTTGGCAGCGCCCATGAGCACCCGTGAATTCCACAGATCTTTTGCCTAGGCATCTGGAGTACCACTTACGACCTCAGTGCCGGGAGCTCCAAGGGACGTATAAGGACATCCGACGTCGTGCCTCGCGGAGCGGTGGTGGAGTATTGCACGTGTGCAATAGAAGAGCAGTGTTGGCATTAGTTGGCAAATCGCGTGTATACGTGGTGATTCACGGACGGCGTGGCGTCGCAGTCATGGCAATGGCATGTGCGGTTGTGGTCGGAGCAGTGATGTGCACCCGGTCATAGCTGGCGTGACACATGCAGGGTACCTCATCCGCGTTAATGCTACCCGTGCGCGTAGAAGTCGTAGTGGCAGAACCGCTTGTAGCAGCGATTGAACCAGTATTCACAGGAGTCGTGACAGTGGCAAAAGCAGAAGGAACAGTGCAGGAGCAGTCGCCGCAGCAGCGCGGACCATGATAGTGATGGTGCTCG